TGTAGATGGTGTCCTTTGAGGAAAAACTCTGGATTTTTGCTTTAATTGATAAAAAACTAAAAATGAATGCAAACAGTTTGAGTGAATTGCAACTAAAAAAAGCTATAATTGACTCCAAAAATGTAAAAACAAGATTAATACTGAAAACAGAAACTCATTTTTTGTCCAAATACAAGTGAAGTAAAATAAATATTTATTTTTTTTAACTTTTCTTTCAGATTACACACCTGTATGATTTTAATTAAAATGAAGTAATTGTTCTTCATGACTGCCTTAAATTATCTTCAATTTTCAGGAATTGCCATTTTAACACTTAACACTGACTCAGGCTTTCTGCTGTAGAGCAATGTGATGTAAAAGAAGCATATTTGGCAGCATGAAACAAATCTTGTCGTCTGGTGCCTCCTCGGCCATGTTTGAAAGCTCTAAAGAAACATTTGGGCTGCACTCTATGTTTGAACACCTTTTTTGTCTTCTTAACACTTACCATGTGCATGTGCCTTTAAAAAGTTAAATCAGTCTCCTAAAAGGAATGGTCATCAACATAAAACTTGGAGTGTTAAATGAAAAAATAAATGTGTTACGACAGAAGAAATCAGTGAAATACAAGAAATGATTAAAAAAGTGTGAGTATTTGAATTTGCTGTGAACTGTGCCATGTCGGATGTGCACGTGTAGCTCATTCGGTGGGAGTCTGGGCAGAGGAAATGAGCATGAGCTCCCCAGGGCAAGGATTACTCTAATGACTTTGAAAGCAGCCTTGTGCACTGTAACTTCTGACCTCTGCTCATCCTCTTCTCCAAAAGAGAGACGCATGCCAAGGTGCTCATATGCTCATTTCTAACACATGCATGTGTAAGAAACTCCAACGCAACCTTTTTACTCGGCTTGTACAGAATCAAAGACAAACGGAAAGACGAAGATCCTCCTCTCCAGCCCGGCCTCCGGCGCCATCTAAAGCCTGGAACTATTCAGATCTCCCAGCAGCCTCTCATTTCTGATCTGTCAGCTGGCATGCTGCTACTTGAGTGAACAACGTGCTGCTTCTTACAAAGTCAGCCTGCATGGAGCTGAAGTTCCACATGGGTGCATCTCTGGAAGATCGATCAATTTGTCACTTAAGTAACCATTGTGCACTGGTGCCACATATATGAGCGGCAGCATCCTGTTTTTCTTTAGTTTTCCCCTTTCTTCTTCTTCTTTTGTTAAAATTAGGTCTGTCTTCACTCAAGTGTCACAGAGTCACATATTTGTACAAAGAGACGTAAAATGAAAACCAGTCTATGAAACGAGTTTCATTTTGCCAGACCACTTAAAAAGTTTGTGTTTTTGCTTGTTGGCTGGTGAGTGGAGTTAGTTCCAATGCACGTTCCATCCTTTGAAACATTTCCATTTTATTTTAAATCCCACTCAAAGAACTTCAAAAGCTAATTTGTTTCTCTCATTTACTGTAAAACAATAGGTGAAGAATTAATCTTCTGTTTTAGATAAACTTCTTTTAGGATCTAAAATAGCCACACCCAGTTATCCTCCCTGAAGAAATCCAGCACAATGTTTTGGTTAGTATCAAAATGTAGCAGTGCTACTGCTCAGATCAAATAGATGTAATTAGATAAATTGAGAAAGAAGGAGAACAGCTTGGTTGTAAATTGCATGGTGTGTGCATGCTAAGACCCAAAACGGGCACAGCTGCACGGAGCTGCACTCACGATTTATCATCTCTACATCGCAGGAGCCAGCAGCCCACACCGCTATTAATCATCAGCAAAATCATTTAATTCAGCCCAAGACCGACTATTGTCTTAGTCTCTCCACTGACTCGGGGCGGATCAGCCACCACGGCAGCAGAAGCAGCACACCCACCTCAGATGAGATACAAGTGGTGGGTTAAAAATCCCTTTTTCTAGTTTCTATTTTAGGTTTTTTTCCATTTGGAGAGGGAGAAAACTGTGCAGCTGCATCATCAAGTGCAGATGGTGCAGATTATGTATTTTGTTGCTTTAATTTATTCATCTGTTGTGTGTAACTGAAGGTGAAAAGCATTGAAATGTAACAAAGAGCAGATCACATTCAACCCTAACACTGTGTGCTTTAATAAGAGGTGTCCTTTTGGAGTATCCTTTTCTCACAGCCGTTGTGGCTTAACTACAAAAAGCTGACAAACCCAGATTAGATCTGTCCTCTGCAAATCTTTTATTTAACGTGTGTGTTTTGGCACACATCTCTTCCTGTTTCAACAACTTGCTCTGAAACATTGAACTTATGTTTCACTTTCGCTCGCAAAAGTGGAGGTTTCACTGAACACACCAGTGCAGTGAAGTAGCAGCACATGAGATGTCTAAAAGCTGAAATGCAAGATTTGCTAAAGAGCTGCCGAATCTCTCCACAGTGGCTGACTTGTACCCTCGCCATCGCCCCCTCACATGCTTCTCGTGGTTTTGCCCTCTTTGCTCCCCATCGACCAAAAGCACGCCTGCTCAGGAATAACATCCAGACCCACTGACGAGCAGAATAAGGCTGAGAAGAACAGGGAACGCCAAATGTTGACATGCTAATAACAGTGAGCACAAGCCGTTTGGAATAAAAAAAGAAGAGGACAGACAACGGGCACACCGCACACAAACACACCAGGGAAACAGAGAAAGAGCAAATGGGGAGGTACAAATTTGAAACATGCAAAACAACAAGAAATCCACATAAAGAAATAGATGCAATCAAAATCTACTGTCATCCATGGAAACACACACTTTCACACATATTAAATAGAACACACATGCATGCAGGCTCACACACGAGCATAAAGTGGATGAAAAGGACAAACCACAGGCCAAAGTGGACAGTGAAGTGGACATCATGCAAATATAACCATAAAATATATTTAAAAACACCCTTTAGGATGCACTTTATAAGTTTAAAACAAAGCTTGGAAGTCAAAATGTAACTTAATGTAATAATTTGGTTGAGAAATCAGAACAAAATATAAAATAGATGCTCATAAATCATATTTGTCTGGTGAGAGAAAGATGAAAAGGGAAACATTCAGTAAATAATGTGCTAAAATCACAACGTCTCGCTGCCTCTCAAAGCTTTCCAGTTTCAGCTTGAGCAGATTGCTGATTGGGTTGACCGGTTTTTATATTCGACAGTGCCGCTTTAACCACAAACACAAAAAAGAAAATGAGAAACATGTATTGCATATCATTTAATTGTATGAAATGAAAAAAAACACATATGAACATCACATATGGTTAGTGAGTGGTATAATTTTGCACAGCAAAATATTTATATTTATATACTATTTATAAGATGAAAGATAAATGAACACATCCTCAACAGTCTTTAGCGAACGGTAACTCTCATTTTGTACATGCAGGGCGACAATCCCTGAAGATCTAACAATGTCCAGACATCATTGATTATAATAATAATTACTTATTGCTTCATGCCAGTTTCCTCTGAATTCACCCTTCAATCTTTGAAAACTTTACGATTGTAATGCCAAACGTATCTTTATGGGAGGATTTACCCCCAAAACTTCAACAATATGAGAGGAGAATTTTAGTGCATTTCAGTTTGTCAGGTTAATGAATTAACGCCCCCTCCAAAATATAAAATAACAATAATAATTTAAAAACTTCACCTCCAGCGAAGATTTTCTCCTATTCCATCATTTCCTTTATTTTCATTATAATTCTTAATATTTTTGAACCACAAACTTTAAATATGAGGTGGAGACCTGCAGAGCAGAGGTTTACAAGCACATGCTGCAAGTAAAAAAAGCACTGTTTATGCACTGGACAATAATATACACTTCTATGTCAAAATTGGAGCCGAGCCAATTTTTAATTAAATGCATGTTTAAAATGTACAGCACTAATCTAGTTGAACCTGCAGCACGTTTGCAACTTAGATGATAAAACTTTGTCCTTAAATTACGCTTAAAAATATTCAAATGTTTAAAAAAAATGCACAATGGTATGTATTTAAATAACAACAAAGGCTTAAAGCAACAGACTAGACATCCAGGGGATAAAAATATGAGTTTTTCATAATCATTTTTTTCCTTTGCCCCTCTTTTGCAGCAGGATCCGCGCTGACAAAAAAGTTCCATGAGGAACGCTGAGCGCATTCAGCCTAAATGGTGGAGCACTTCAACACAGCTGAAATGCACTTGTATAGATTGCTAAAGGAGGGGGTGGGTGGGAAGTCCTGTCACTTTTTTTTTTGTCCAAAAAAGTGAGAAGGCCAAAAACATGATTATGAATGCCATGCTGGAGTCCGACAACACAAAACCGACATCTTCAAAGCACAAAAAGAAAAGAAAACCATACATGTCCAGCATGCAGGGCAGTCCAATAACACATCTCTTATAATAAAAAAGAAAAACAATGTTTGGTAATGAACACAGTGTCTTTTGTTGTTGTTGATCAACACAATAACAAGCATGAGATGAGGTGGCGTCAAAATGCATGGTGTACGATCCTCCAAAGTATGGCAACAAAAAGAAAAAATCATACAAAATAATAAAAAACTAACAGTCACTGTTGCAGTTTTACACGGATTTAACAGAATGCTGGTGTAAAAAGGACATGTTGGGGAACCTCGTGCCTGCATGCGCGCTTCATTTACTGCGGCACGAAGTTGGGTAAACTTTCAAAAAATCAGTTAACTGTGAAGGGAGGGAGGGAAAACGGTCTCGCCATAAGTACGCTGCGGATGAGCGCAGAAAGGGGATGAAAGTTTTCTCAACGTGCGTCTTCAAAATCATTAAAAAAACAGAAACAGATGGCAAATCTAAATTAATTAAAGAATTGAGGAAATTGTTGTTTTTCCCAAAAATGTTTAAAAAAACTAAAAAAAGAAAAGGGGTAGAAAATAATAAAAATAAAAGAAAAAAAGTTGGCAATTCATGTCTTGGTCTATTTTGGCCAGAAAAATGAATGAAAATGAAAAAAGTTTGGAAATGCAAACTTTTTAAGTTTGTAAGCGTCGAGACTCACATGAAAAACTCCGGGGATGAAGGGTTGTTGTCACTACTGGACCCGTTTTCTCTGAAGCCGGTGCTGATGAGCTTCTCATACTTTTCTTTGTACGCGTCCCTCTCCCGGACCAGCCTGGAGATCTCCTGTTTTAGGTGATCGACCTGCTGCAGGAGTTGCGTCTTCTCTCCCTCCAGGACGTGCCGCTGCTGGACCCGCTTGAAGCGGCAGGACTGCGCGTAGCCTCTGTTCTTTAGGGTCCTCCTCTTCTGTTTCAGTCTGATCACTTCTTCCTTGCTGACCCCCCGCAGCTGCCGGTTGAGCTCCCGCACGGACATGGTGACCAGCTGCTCGTCGGAAAACCGCTCATCCAGGCGCATGTGGGAGTGATTTGTCCCCGAGGTGCCGTTGGACTGGACGCCCGGTGCCTGGTGGTGGCTGCTGCTGTGGTGGTGATGGTGGTGGTGGTGGTGCTGCGCTCCGTTCTGAGCGGCTGCCGCGGCGATGACGGCTGACACCACGGCTGCGGCGGACCCCATCTCTTCCCCGGCCATGGTGCCTCCTGCTCCGGCTCCACCAGCAAACTGCTGGCCTCTTGCGTAGCCATCGAAGGACTGGAGCTGGTGGGTGCTGTTGATCAGCGCTTCGACTGCGTCCTCGGGGCTGAAGCCCAGCGCCTCTGGATTCAACTGCTGTTGATAACCGGACATCCAGTAGAAGTCCTCTATGTGTGTCTTCTGCTCGCTCCCGGAGCCCGGGCTGGGCGCCGAGAAGCTTGGGGAAGGGGGGACCGAGCTGCAAGGCGTGCTCATCGGGGTGGAAGACAAGGATCCCCCGGCGATAAGGCGACTGCACTGGCTGATGTTGCGATCGGGCTCCACCGGCTCCTTTTTCACTTCAAACTTCATCAGATCGAAGTCATTAACATATTCCATGGCCAAGGGACTGGTGGGCAGGTCGGAGTTGCTCATTGCCAGCTCTGATGCCATCCTCTTGCTGCTGCTGACAGTCCTCCAAGCGGGCTGAAGAGCAGCTGTCAAACTGGGCTGGTTTGGAAGAACGTGAGCCAGTTTGATTTTTAAGCGTTTGTCTTGAAACTGAAAAATGAGCGTTTCAGCGTCCCGGACGTGCAGGCGTGTGAGAGTAGTTTTTCTTTTGCAGAGTCTATTGCACAGACACAGCAGTGCCGCGCGCACGAGCAGCGGAATCCTTTTTCAGCATGTGAACCGCGGCGGTTTGGTCTTTCAAACATTTAACACTTTACCGGCTTCTTCAGGAGCGCGTTACGCGGAGACGAACCGAGGAGCGGGGCAGTGGGACGCAGCCTCGCTCCGTTCAGAAGCCGCTGACTGGTGGGACGATTTTTTAAGAGGGATCACAGAGCAGATGAGTTTAAGAGGATTGTAGCTGCCCTGACGTCAGGCTGGAAAAGGGAAATCGACTCGGACGAAGAGCCAATAGGGTCGCACACTTGGAAGAGCTAATTAACATATCAGACGCGCACTGAAACTTTTCTCAACTGTCAGAAGCGGCCAGCTGACTGTCAGCTGGAAACGGGCTGCGCTGCCGCACTCAGCTAAATGTTTATTATAATAAACACTCAGTTATTATAGTTTAAGAACATTAATTATTATTTATTAAAAAAATAATATTAATGAAACAGCGCGCGCCGCGGGCGTAAATTCCCGGGACAAAACTTTTCGCAATTGAGAGAAAAAGATGATAGATAGATGATGATGATGATAGATAGATAGAAAGATAGATAGATAGATAGATAGATAGATAGATAGATAGATAGATAGATAGATAGATAGATGATAGATAGATAGATAGATAGATAGATAGATAGATAGATAGATAGATAGATAGATAGATAGATAGATAGATAGATAGATAGATAGATAGATAGATAGATAGATAGATAGATAGATGATAGATAGATAGATAGATAGATAGATAGATAGATAGATAGATAGATAGATAGATAGATAGATAGATGATAGATAGATAGATAGATAGATAGATAGATAGATAGATAGATAGATAGATAGATAGATAGATAGATAGATAGATAGATAGATAGATAGATAGATAGATAGATAGATAGATAGATAGATGATAGATAGATAGATAGATAGATAGATAGATAGATAGATAGATAGATAGATAGATAGATAGATAGATAGATAGATAGATAGATAGATAGATAGATAGATAGATAGATAGATAGATAGATGATATATGATAGATAGATAGATCGATGATATGTTTAAACATGAACCATCATTTATTTTCCAACTCCATGTAAGCCTATTTTCACTAGTTTCCTCTTAGATAATAATACATTTAAATAAGTGCTTCTGACTTCATTTAATCATTCCATCTCTGTAGTTTCAGAGTCCTTGAAGTCAGTCTGAAACAGAAGTGACAAAATTAAACGATTCTGTGCTGCTGTAACTCAGACTTTGTCGTTTATAAATTAAAACATGCACCGGAGAGGTTCATCATGCCTAGCTGCACGTTCCTATATAAAACTCAACACTGCCACCTTTTGGTCACACCTGAGCAAAAGTCAGTCTGCAGCTTCAGAAAGTTGTCACGCAGTTCAAGTTTTTAAACCAGAAAAAGAAAATTTACTCTTATTAAATGTATTATTTAATATGAATCTCAAACCCAAACGGATGCTCTTCTAAGTCCAGCTGGGCCGGCGTCAGGAGATCATGGTCTGGAAGAGGTCATATGTTGGAGGAAATACAAGCTGGTGAACCCAGTGTTGAGTTCAAACAACTATTATGTGCAGGAGTCATAAACATATGTTTATCTGAGCTCTGTCAGGCGTTGCTTTGGGTGTCAAATAAACTTCTCTAGAACATTGCTTCTTATCTCAGTTCAGAGGTCTCACACTTTTAATTGACTTGTGTACAACAGTCTCATAAGATTTTCTTCTGCTCATATCATTGTGTGTACTTAAGCCACATTGCTGAGGTTAATGCAAATTAATTCACGCGTCTTATCAAACTCATGCATCTTGTAGGTTGTTTCATTTTCATTTTAACTCAGTTTATTAAATATTGAGGTAACTTCAGAAATTTAATTTTAAAATTTATTTTTGTAAATTGGGAGACTTTGGTTAAATGTTATTATGCAGTTTTCCTTAGAAAAATGTGTGTGTGTGTGTGTGTGTGTGTGTGTGTGTGTGTGTGTGTGTGTGTGCGTGCGCGTGCGCACACTCTCTTAGGCCCACCAGTTGAATTGTTTGTTAACAGAAGTATCTGATTTGCCAACAACATAGCAGCAACTTAAATCATATAGGCACGGGAGAATACAACTTGTTGAAAGAATGATGGCAGAGGAGTTAAGGTTGGTTTATGCTTGACGCGTCCGCGAGGTCTGCACGGCTCCGCGCGGAAAAGTTGCGTCATTTTGCGTCATTTTAACAACCACGCCCCTCCACCGCGTCTCCGCACGGCCCAAGATCTCCGCAACGCTCACCTTGGAAATCTTCTAACCAAGGGCGTCAGTTTGTTTTCAGAATTGCTGGGGACAATAACCATACACTTGAGTGGGGTTTAAAAATTGCTGGGGACAATAAGGCAGGCTTTTTTGAAAGTAGGGGGGACACAGCTGCCAATCACAAATTTTGCCGGGGACATGTCCCCGGCGTCCCCGGTTAAAATGACGCCTATGCTTCTAACCACGCGGACGGTCGGACGCGGAAAAACATGGCGGACCAGCAAGAACTATAGCAGAGGTTCGTAAACACAGACATTTGTATGATTCGGCTCTCAGAGATCACCGTGATCAACATGTTGTTAATAATTCTTGGAGAGAAATAGCTCGCACTGTCGGAAAAGACGAGAACACTGTTGAATATGCTGAAATGCCGTGTTGTAAACAGTAATTTCTACTTCTACTATGGTGTAGTGTTGGATGCATGCCGTAGAGCTCCATGCTGCCCCGTTCAGTTTGGGAGAATATTGGCTCACCGCAGAGACGAGCCGCACAAACCATAAACACTGCGAGTTGTGAAGCGCGTTCCAGCCGCGAGCCGCATCATCGCGCGGAAAGTGAATGTGTCAAGCATAAACCAAGCTTTAAATGCCCACCCCATAACCGGAGGGCTGCAGATTCAAGCCCTGTCTGTGGCAGTTGTGTCCTTGGGCAAGACACTTCTGTGGTCAGAGAGACCGGCAGCGCCTGTGTTCGGCAGCCTTGCCTCTCTCAGTGTGTCCCAGAGCAGCTGTGACTACACTGTAGCTCATCATCACCACCAATGTGTGTGTGAATGGGTGAATGAAGGATGTGTTGTAAAGTCCCTTGGGGGGTTGTAGAACCCTAGAAGGGACTATATCAAATACAAGCTATTAAAATGAGTCTGAATGTGGCCTAGTTGTTGGCTCCAATTCAAAGCATTCCAAATATCGCAGATCTACCAGAATTTTCACACACAACTGTAAAGAATGATTGGAAAAAAGAGAACTTGTTTGGACAAACAAGTCTTGTTGATGTTAGAGGTCAATAGACAATGGCCAGAGAGGTTCTAAACAGGCAATGAATAACTTATTAGGCAGTTTCTGTACAATACCATCACCGAACACATTGCTTGGTGAAATTTGAAGCAGATGAATTCCAGGAGCAGATGATCACACCAACCAAGTTCACTAAAGCTGGACCAGAAGAAACTGGAATTATTCATTTTATTATTAATTTTTATTTATTTATAATTTATTTTTTATTTTATTCTTCTTCTTATTCATTTGTGCTTTGTATCAACAGCTCTGGGTGGGGTGGGGGGGGGGGGTGTTAGTGTAATGGGTGTAAAGGATGGGTAGTTTGCATCTTACTTTATGAACCATAAAATGTGAGATTCCATAGAAATATGAAATCTGATGGATCTTTGAATATTTTAACCAGAACATCGGAACTTTTTATTGCAGGGATTAAGTGACACTTCGTATTAACTCCAAGGAAAGTAAAATACAACTTGCAGCAGATCATGACCTTTAGGTCAAAAACAGGACATTCATGATGCTACATGGGCAGATGATGTTTTTCTTGGTCCCCTCAACTCCACCTGACCCTGGTACAGCTTACCTGAGTATTGTTGTGGACCATGCCCATCCCTTTATGAACACATCCAACAGGATAAGGCACCATGGCCCAAAGCTCAAACCACGGACGTGTAATTTTGACTTTAGAAGTGGGGGGGCAAGATCGGCATGCGAAACGGGCAAGGAGAGGGGAGGGGGTTGGTCCTTTACAGTAAGTATACAAAAATATGTAATATGCAATATGAAAAGGGCTTCAACACAAGCAGCTGTTTTCTGCTTGGTCCTAGTGTTCAACCAGTGTCCATGTAGCATAATATTGTCTTTGGATGGTAAAAAGTGCAGGGGACAAAAAAAAAAAACTTTGAAAAAAAATAAAGCCCCCCCCCCCAAAAAAAAATAAACCTACGTCCATGGCTCCAACAATCTGAAAGTGATTTATTTAACAAGAGTTTGGGGTTCACTAAAAACTCCCAAAATCACCAGATCCCAGAATCTTTGGGATGTGGTTGAAAGGGAGATTCAGAACTGAAAATGTTAAAGTTGTGCCATTTAACAGCTAGTTGAATCAGTGCCATGAAGAATTAAAGCAGTCCTGAGGGTAAAGATTGGTCCAGCCCAGTTCTAGCAAAGGTGTATCTATAAACCGGTCAGTGACTGGGCTGATTTCTTTTGCTGCCTCTTTTAAAAACCATTATTTTGTCTCTCCAAGTGCATGATCTCATCACTGAGTGGATTTTTACATTTTTGCGTGCACACTCTAATGATTGGCTTAATAGGTCATGCCAGCTCTGTCAATGGCTTTAGAAGATGACTCTGACTTTCACTTAGATCTTTTCTGAACCATAAGAACTTTAGCAGTCCTCTGTGGTCTTCTAAATGTGTCTTAGTCATTTCAGTTTTATGAAAAATATACTTTTTCTTTACTTCTTGTTGTTTTCAATGAAAAACACTTTCAGGTGTCATACATACATCAAACATGTGAGTTTATGTTTAATGTTAACAGTGTGGATTTTGCAAAACTCAAATAAAACCCCATTGTTTCTATTTTCATTCTGCTGCCATGTCATCTGTTTGGGCTTACCTGTTCCTGGGGAGGCACAGCAGTTGCCCGTTCCCTGGGGTACGGCTACAGCGGAGCGAGACTAATACACAAATGAAGGGAGAGCTCATTAGTCATGACAGAAGAAAGTGGCGGACCTAATTTAGTTGCTTTTGTGCCTTTGAAGTTATTGATGATGCAGAGCTGAGAGAGATCCGCGCGTAGAAAGATTGGGCTGCCGTATGGAGAACTTCTAAAACCAGGAGGGAGGAAGTGATGAGTTGGAAGAGGAATGGGGGTTGTCTTACAAAGACGTGAAACATTACCATGTTATTACAAGGGTCAAGGCAGCTTTTCAGGGTTTTAGGAAATCTTTAAAAATGTATCATTTAAAGCCACATAAAAAACAGGGTAATTTCTTTTTTTAGAGAAGTGAAACCCTGTAACAAGCAATAAAATATATAGTATTGTGACTTTACTGAGTTTTAAACCAGTATGTACG